ATGCAGGTGTACCTAGCTAGCTAGGTAATAAGCTCTCTTGCCTTATGCAATGCATGTGACAGTGTTAGCCCTAAAGTATACGGTCACAGACAAGCAAGACGTGAAATAACGCCTGAAAAGCCATTGAAACTTTAATAGCCCGGCCTGGTATCCTACACATTAAATAAAATACCTTTCATTCATTTATTGATTACATCGAGGTAATAATAAAAGTAGGTATACTTAATTCCTTCAGGCCGAGTAAAAAATACAGGCCTATGACTTGAGCCACTGCGAGCAATTCCACTTGAGAATCATTCATGCATAAATATAATCGCCCACTGTTCTCATCCACAGGGCTATTTTAATGATCGTTCAATGAAAATATAACCATTTAAATCATTATTTACTATACTTATTGAAAATTGAAAAGACCAAATTGAATAAGAAACCCTGTGTGTTATTTTTTTCCCAAAAACAATCGCACCTTTGGTGACGTTATCAAAATCAGGCGTCATGACCTCGAGTTACTACTGATCTAGCCTTTCCCGATGGAAGTGAGTTCTGTGTGAGCGGCCATTTCTTTTTGAATCTGGCAATGTAATGTGTATTAAAACCCTACAGTGTAATGAGTTATGGTATTGTCAACATCTGGAGAACTCCAGAAACTGTGAGGAGCTTAACCAAAAAAGACACACTTGTTAGATGAGTAAGAATAAGGATATTATTGTAACCACACCTAATAAGGGACTAGTTGCGGTCATTCTAAATAAGATGGAAAGCATCTTAAGAGATGAAACAAAGTTCATTAAGATTTAAGATGACTGCACTCTCTCACTATCAAAAAATAGGACCAACTTAATAATATGCTAAGAAAACTCGAAGATAATCAGTCATTTGGTAAGGATACATATTCATGTTTGTTTGTTTCTGGATCAAAACCACGTGTCCTGTTTGGACTGCCGAAAGTCCATTCATGTTGCTCTCTTAGATCAATACTTTCAGCAATTGGCACATTAAAGTTTAACATTTCAAAATATTTTGTTCCCATTCTCAAAACACTGACTATCAAGGGATTTACAATACATGATACTTTCTCATTTGTAAAAACAATATTTAATATTCCCGATGTTGACAATTATATGATGGCAAGGATTGATGTTACCAATCTATTGACAAGTGTCCCTCTTGTTGACGCAATTATAATCATCTCTGGCTGTCTGTTTAATTACGTCTCACCTAATTGACTTAAATATGCTACAATTCAAGAAATTGCTGGAAATTGCCACGGCAGATACAGTCTTCTTTAATGGCAAATTATATAAACAGATTGACGGAGTGGCTATGGGTAGTCCCTTAGATCCTACACTTGCAAATTTATTTCAGTTTTCATGAAAAGAGATGGCTCATAAACTGCTCCCCACCCCCACCCCGATTTTAGACCATCACATTATAATGGACATGTTGATGATGCATTTCTTTTTTTTTACACTGCAGTTGCAAGTACATAATTTCTTACAGTATATGAATAGCCAGCACAAGAATATTAAATTCACTTGTGAGTTAGAGTCCAACAGTAAACTACCTTTCTTAGATGTCAGTATAAGCAGAGACATCAATAGATTTTTAACTGCAACTTACAGGAAACCTACATACACAGGCCTTAAAAGGAAGTTTGATTCTTTCCTTTCTGTCAAGTACAGAACTAATTTGATAAATACCCTTACCAATGGAGCATACAAAATATCAAAATCATATCTAATATTCACCAAAGAAGTAGTTCTATCACTGACACTTGAAGAAGGAATGGTTTTACATTGTTTAACACCAACTTAAACAGTATCTTTGTAAAAGAGTACCGGTACAACTTGCCGCCAAAGATAGAGTTTATGAAAACCTTCCTTACATAGGCCCCATGAGTTACACTATTAGAAGGAAATTGATAGACCTCATAAACATGCATTATTCAACTGTAAATTTAAAAATCATTTTCACTCCCACAACCACCATAGGCCAAAAGACAAAATTCCCAGCCTATGAATGCTGCTTACACTGAAAAGACTTCCAGGAATCTTTGCATTCGTGCAGATGAACATAAAGGCATTTCATACAGAACGGGAAAATCTCTAGGAAAAGCCATTGTTTCCCCAATGCGTAAACATTGCCGGCAAAATAACCATAATTTATCAAGACATTTGCTTCTGACCTCTACATATTAGAAATTTATGGATTTGGAAAGGACGACCAAAACTTAATGAAATTAAATTGATCAGTTTACAATAGTTTTTACACACACATTTTCTCTACATTCCGATGTTTCAATAGTATTACCAAATGTAAACAGAAAATGACTAATGACAGTATTTATCAATAGTCATTCTCTGTATATTCATATTTCATTTAATGATTTAGCATGATGTTTTTAAACCTTCATAGTTTTATGTTTTGTTGTTATTGTAGCTAATAATTGATGATGGGTAACGAACTTTACACCCGAAAAGTTTGGTGGATTAAATAAAGATGCTGTTCCTTGGTTTATCAGTTCCTCATACGCCTCTGTTTCCCGACCGGAAGGTCAATCACTATGATTTTATATGTATATATATATATATATATATATATATATATATATATATATATATATATATATATATATATATATATATATATATATATATATATATATATATATATATATATATAATATATATATATATCTATATATCTATATCTATATACATATATATATATATAATATATATATATATATATATATATATATATATATACATATATATATACACATACATACCATATATATATATATATATATATATATATATATATACACACACACACACACACACACACACACACACACACACACACACACACACATATATATATATTATATATATATATATATATATATATATATATATATATATATATATATATATATATATATATAGTATATATATATATATATATATATATATATATATATATATATATATATATATATATATATATACACTCACACAGACACGGACATGCAGACAGAAAGCGACGATTATTCAGTCGTCAATGCATAATCTAACAAAGTAGTATTTATAAGAGGATTATAATAAGTAGTGAAGAGTTATTCTTACATGTGGTCACAGAAATGTATATAAATTATGTAAACGCTGATATCCTAACAGCTGTTGCTTACCACATTTTTTTTATTCAGAGGCAGCAAGTTTATCCTCCAAGCAGCAGGCAAGTAACCGTACACAGCATCGAAAAGGACTCGGTCCAGTTTCAGAGATGTTATAAAGCCTAGCGTATGCATATTTAGCATTCACCAACTTGGTCGACGCCGCTCTCGCATCAGCAGCGCTCGGTCACCAGCAGGTCAGCAATCTTACATTCTGCCACGGAAAGCTGCTCTTATTAAAGGTTAATTAGGAGGAGTTACTGTATCGATTTCAGAGAACTGTAGTCAGTGTTCATGAAGATCTTTCCAGTCTTAGCATACGTTCCATATCCCTATTTGTCAGATTTTGTTCCTCAGTGATAGTCATAGACATCCCGTGTGATTTTTCTCAGTGGAGGCCACCGTGTTACTGAGTCGGTGTTAAGGAAGATGGCTGTTTTATAACCACTGCATTTCATAAACAGCCGCTTGTGGATGCTTGTAAGACTTTTATCTTGAACAGTCTTCCTGTGTTATCGGACAAAATTTGAAAAAGGACTTGACTACGTTTCTGGTGAGATTTTTTAAAATAGAGTAACAGACATGAGTGCGACTAATAGCCAAGGAAGTTCAATAGTCTGCCGGCGAACCGAATTTGGCATTTCTTTTCTTTTACTAGCCTTAGAAATGCAGCCGCTAGTCTCATAAATGTTAAGCTGTAAGGCTTTGTCATATATGTGCTATCCTTCATCATCATTCAATTACATCTGCCATACTTAAGAATCTTGCAATGGCAGTCAGTTGACCCTTCTTACGGTTGCACATTTTCTTAATGCATATTATGAAAAGTGCATTGATGCAATATCTTCCGATTCATATTTGTATAATTTGCTAATACCCAGTACTGGAAGCCTCATTGGCAGAAACAGGAAGACATACAGAAAATCACGTGTTTTTACTGAATCCTAAATGGCGTAAACACTTCTGCTCCATTACTCGTACTCTGAAAGCCTTCACGGTCAGACGCACCATCGCGACGTAGGCCAGTACCAGCAGGAAACAAATCGCGTCTCGTTTTCTTCAGCTCCAACCACGGAGACCGCTAGAAATAGCTGCTGCAGGCCGGTCCACGAACGAGAAAAGGCCCGGGTGAAGCTAGACCGAACTGTCCGCAACCTACAAGCATTTGAGCTACTGAATTCCCTCATAACTAAAGGGATGGATTGGCGGGACAATGTTTATACCAACAATGCTTATACTACCAGACCAGACTGACCAGACTGCGACCACCGTTGCCGAAGTTCCATTATTTAGGATCTTCTACATGGCACATGTTCATGTTATTCATAACAGGGATCTCGAGTGGAGGTCATGGCACTCTCACTCCATTCAGGAAAAGGTCTCTCGAAATTCTAATCAGGTCATCTCAGGCAAGTGACGTAACAATGTACAATTTTGATTTTTCTTTTTTTTCCTCAATAATGAAAATGTTGCTAATCCAAGTTAGATGTTCAGATTTGGTGTGTTTTCTTTCCACGCTTAAAGGTACGTTAAAGCTAGCTTGTAAGATAGTGAACTATCACTTTACTTTACTAATCAGGCGCGGTTGCTGTTATTATTATATCTGTTTCATTTAGTTAGTCTTCGTCGTCCATTTCAAGAGGAAAAGCTTTTGTTTCACATGATAGAAAGATAATGTTAAGACCGTGAATGCATTTTTAATTTTTTCAGATTCAGAAACCGATTTATACATAAGCATAGAGCACTGCGTGAGTTTGTCTATGTTTTCATAATGATAAAAAGTGATTCTTTTATTCTTAGGTGAGCAGAAATTAAACATTGCTGAAATTATTTTCTTTCTTTTTTATTAGAAAATCTTAGGTAATAACATACTTAAAATACTGTATAAAGGGGCATAACTTAGGAAGGTGTTATAAAAAATGGAAATATGTAGTTTAAACAGCACAATGGTACAAACAAGAAATGAATTGGGAAGTTGTTACCCAAAAGCCGATTTCAGTCTGGAATGAACGCTGTCATGCAAGAATGTTGTCTCCCTATCCTTCTCTTTATCTCTCACCCTTCTCCCTCTCCCTCTCTCTCCTTCCTCTCTCTCTCTCTCTCTCTCTCTCTCTCTCTCTCTCTCTCTCTCTCTCTCTCTCTCTCTCTCTCTCTCTCTCTCTCTCTCTCTCTCTCTCTCTCAACTGTTACCTTTTGTCTCCCGTTGTTTTTTTCCTACCAGTCAACAGAATTTTCATACTAAACGCGTTTTGCATGAAGTACTGTGTTCTCCGAGTTTAGATATAAAAAAGACCCTTGGAAATATCCATATACTGTGAAAAAACAACCTATGTAGCAAGAATAAAAAATCATAAATCATTAGCAAGGTATTAGGTATTCACCATGTGAAGTTTGGAGGGAATCATGTATGTTAAAAGAGGTTGAGAAAAGTCAACACATTTATACTCACGATCCCTTAACCACACAGACAATACCACCTCATTTTGTACTACCTACCAAATGAAATTTCATGATATTTTACAACTTGCATGTTATGATATCACTTAAACACAAGTCACCCTGAAGAAAGTATCCACCCACATTGTGACTGATGGGCCTTTAGAGACAAGATAGGCCTAGGTAGTGCATGGAAGTTATACGCCTACCCCCCTTTCCCAACACCTTCCCTTTCCGTCTTGTCCTGCAAGAGTATTTTTTCGGAATTAAAAAGCTTCATTCTCCTCGGTTGCCAGAAAACTCTCCGTCGCCGCATCCTGTAAAATAGAGAAAATAATGAATAAACAAGCTGTTAGGTCCAAAAAGTTTGCTATCATATAATCTAGCTTTATTGGTAATATATTTTTGTTGTTATCGTTATTGTTAGTTTTATTACCAAAATAACATCCATGACAATATCAAAATAATTATCATTAACATTATGATCCAAAATTATTATCTTGTTATCACTTGTTCCCCCTTGTATTGCCGTACTATTGATAATAATCATTATCAATAGGTATTACTGCCACTATTAGTATTAACCTCAATGAATTACTGTACACGTGAAATGATTTTCTCATCTTTATCGGACCCTTATCTATAACTTCAAAGGGCACCAGGATAATAGCACAAGGGAGTTCTACTCTCGACACTTCTTTTAAGTGGACAGCAAATAATCCTTGTTGAACCTCCTATTGACATGGTGTAGTTACCTGTAAGAGGGTTCTCTAAAATCTTATAGCAATTGCCGAAATTAAATAAATAACTCATGTCCGCGCTCATGCAGTCCAAATCTGTTCCATACATGCGAAATTATCCGCTAGTTTCCTTTGTAATATTTATAACAACGATATATCAGACTTGGAAATAAACCGATGGCAATGCCGAATATTATGCAATATCTCAGAGCACAGAAAGTGACACCGCAGTGATCCAAGCTGAGTTAACATCACCGTATTCCTGGCTGTCGGTGAGTGAGGTATGGCTACTAAAGAGTTACTTTACTAGCTTATCATTATGCAATATCACGGAGTATGAAACGGATGCCTAGTTATGAGATGCCGACTATTACATGTCCCTAACCCTAATCCTGCAATAGCAGTATTTGGAAAAGGGTGTGAAAGGCAGGAGGAGCAGCTGCAGAACTCAAAGCTGAGGGGATGTCGCGTTGATCATGAGAGAGATAGCGGGAGGAAAATGACTAAGGAGGAAACTAACTGAGGAGGAAACTAACTGAGAAGGGAACTGGCTGAGGCTCGAAGCGACATTTCCTGCTGTTGGACCTACATTAGCAGCTCCCATACCCGTTCTACTTACAGCCATGAAGTCAAATGTAAACAAAAATACAAACACAGTGACATATCAACAGAGATGAACTGGATCATTGCACCATAAGAAAGGAATCCTACCTATGAAACATGGTACATTTCTACTGTCATCTGATGAGGAACTTTTGACACGAAATGTCACGTTTTAGTAATCCTTTCTTCATGTGGTTGCGTTTCAATTAATTCTTAATGATAAAAATCACGTTTTTTCAAAGTAGCTTCAATGGAAATTTGGGTTGAATTGATATTAGTTATTAGATAATGATCTAATGATATAAAAGTGATAATTCAGTTTTCGTTACAAAAGCATGAATTTCTAAGGGAGATTCTACCTCTCTGCGGCTTAAAACTTTTACGCTAGATTTCGTGGAACAGACAAGGAGCCCATTCACAGAACACGAGGATTCCTTGTTATTATTTAACACCGTAGCTCAAATTGAATTGCTTCATCAAAGTCGAATTATTGATTAATTTGCTCTAAGAATCTTAATCTCTCCCGTCGTTCCATGCTTTTCGTGTCTGATCATTCCTTTTTTATCTGGCTATTTCATCTTCCCCTTTCCATTATCATCCATTTCTGTTTCTCTTCAGTACAGTTTCCTTCATGCCATATTTTACATATTACTCACCCGTTCCACCTCTTCCGCGGGCGCCATCGTCGTTGGGTCGGACATGACGTCACTGGCCTCAACCATGACGTCATTATCATGCATAGCGTCCTGAAAAAAACGGGATTGATCAGTATAGTGGAAAATCTGATATTACATAGGACTACAAAGAAAATCAAATTGAGGGACACTGGTTTTCAGATAGAAAAGCAATATTAGCGAACGATAACGGTTTACACAAATGGAATTGCAAATAAAGGACTTACTGCGAGACACGATAACAAACCCGCAAATATAGTACTGCAATCATGACATTACTAAATGAAGAAATACGAAATTATACTTATTTCATATTTTTTATATGAACAGAAGCCTCTCCCCTTCCCTTTCCTTAGATAAGAACTGAAATGCGTTTACTCTACAGCTCATAATCAGACCCATAAAAAACGAATTGGAAACGTATTTGGATAATTTTAAGAAACTAGGGCTTGATTGAGGATCTAGTGCATCTTTCTTGCAGCAAATGAAAACAAAGCAGAAGCAAATGAGACCAGACAACCAGCACATCAGGCAGTAAAATACAATATGCATTAGCAGAGAAATCCAAAATCATTGTACAAGGCAGTGGTCCCCATCCCCCAGGTCGCGACACAAATGAGGATCACCAGGGTTTTTTCTGAGGGTCGCCAGAGTCTTAAAAGAAGAATAAAAGAATCCATAGCTGGATACGTCGGTAAAAGTTAATGTTTTTTTATTAACACATTTTTTTAAATTCAATGTGTTGGTAATATATACCTATAAAAGTATAAAATAACGCAAGCTAATATACATCTGCAAGTATAACTACAGTGAAAATGGATATATTACTACATGTTCACACTTAGCCCAAGCTATGACTGTCTTTAGGATTGCATTCGTCAAAGTTTGGGAAACACTGGTGTAAGGGATAAAACGAGAAATTGAATAGTCCCTGGGTATTATTGTCAATATCAACACATTATCAGCCGGTAGATGTTCTTAATTGCTTATGAAAACAACTGTTAGTTAAAAAAAAAACACCTGGATGTCTAGAATATGTCTGTAGTAAATTGTTGGGATCTTCCTTCGAGCATTCTAACTCCCCTCGGCGTACAGACAATCTTTAAAGTTTTATCAGTTACAAAATGAAATGGAATATATCAGATTTATTCAAACTGCAGCTATGAAAAGATATTTACTTTGAAAAGGTTACATTTAAACTAAATTAATTAGTATAGTATATGCAGGGTCGGGAATGATGGAGAGTGTAGGGTTAATAAAGCACCATGTTTTGCCAAGATGCGATTTTTAAGGTTTTGTCTGTAAATATAAGTACATGTCGGCAATTTCGAAGGTTTAACTCCTCCAGCTTAAAAAATGAACTTGACTGTGACTTGAGAGTGCTACCTGGTTTATAAATCTATCTTAATTCTGCATTTGTTGCTAATCTGCGTTTTTGCAACCTTTGCGTTCCCTGTACCAAAACAAGGCCCAATTTAGTACAGCATAGTAGTGTTTCATTGATTTATATAGTTTTATACTTCAAATATTTATGAAGGTTTGTTTATTTTCTTTTTATTCTAAAAGCCTGAAAAACTTACTACACTACTTTGGATTTTAATTGGTTGCACAGCTAAACTATTCTTTGGACAAATATGTAATATCTAACATCATTTTTATTGCTTAAAATACAATACCGATAAAATTCATGTTTGTTTATTTTGTTGAAATGGACAGGCCTATAGACAATGGGTTTGAATAACTTTTTAAAACCAAATATTTTCATCTTGAGATACTCTGTCGATTATAGGTTTTCTATGGGGGTTTGGTCAAGGGTGGGTTTAAGTCTTTTAAGTTTTAAGTTTTAAGTAACACCCGGCCCCAGTCTCGTATTTTCGCTTCAGAAGGTTGGCAATCCTACTCCCACTGAACTCTAATTTTGGTCTCACATGCTTCTGTTTACTTAATTTTCGCAACGAAACAAGGAAATGGTGAATTAGCCGCTTTCGAACAACATATGATCATCATCATGGACACTTAAAATACTGATTGAGGTTCGTTAAAAATGTACACGTTTCAGAGTGTATGAACCTGAGCCTAATGCAGTTACCAACTGGCTTCTAAGCAATGGAGCCACATCTACGTATATATGAAACAAGGAAATTGTTGTAAACTAGAAGAAAAGAATAGACGATAGAAATTAATGAGATCTCACATACCTCACAACTTTTTTTTATCAAGTTCCGAAGGTAAAACCATAGAAGAAAAGTTTCGTATTTTCGCTCATTATGTCCAATAAATGTTAAAATTTCCCTTCTAACTGAAGGCTATGTCGAACTAAAACTATTCCATTAGTAAATCATAATGATATTGAAGGTAGGCCTACTTACGCTGTCCACGCCCAAGATGGTGGTTGTTTCAACTGCCTCGTCCATCATCTCGCTTTTCTCTTCGGCGGGGACGGGTTCGGGTTCGGCTGCGGGTTCGGGTTCGGCGGCGGTTCGGGTTCGGCCGTTGGTTCGGGTTCGGCGTTCGGTTCGGCTGCGGCGGGTTCGGGTTGGTTCGGGTTCGGGCGGGTTCGGGTTCGGCTGTTGGTTCGGGTTCGGCCGCCGGTTCCGGTGTCGGTTCTGCCTCGGGTTCCGCTACTGGTTCTTCGGTTTTGGCCATGTTCATCATGTGTTTCATTTCCATTTTCGTCATTTCGCTCATTTCGTCCATCATCGGAGGCATCATCGTCGTTTCAGATTTGGCTTCCATCTCCGCCAGCATCATCTCCATCTCTGGTGTCATGGTCATTTCTTCGTTCATGTCCATCTCTGGCTTGGTTTCCATCTCAGGTTTTGCCATCATCTCTGGCTTCATTTCCATTTCGTCCTTCATCATTTCGGGCATCATCTCCATCTCTGGCTTCATCTCCATTTCTGGCATTATTTCCATCTCTGGTTTCATCATTCCCATCTCTGGCTTCATTACCATTTCTGGCATTATTTCCATCTCAGGCTTCATCTCCATCTCTGGCTTCATTTCCATCTCTGGCTTCATCATTTCCATTTCTGGCTTCATCATCTCCATCTCTGGCTTCATCATTTCCATTTCTGGCTTCATCATTTCCATCTGGCTTCATCATCTTCTGGCTTCATCATTTCCATCTCTGGTTTCATATCCATCTCCATCTCTGGCTTCATCTCCATTTCTGGCATCATTTCCATCTCTGGCTTCATCATCTCCATCTCAGGTTTCATTTCCATCTCCATCCTGGCTTCATCATCTGGCTTCATTTCCATCTCATCGTCCATCATCATTGGCTTCGCGTTCATTTCCATCTCCACTTCGTCCATCATTTCCGGCTCCTCGTCGTCCTCCTCAAGGTCCATCTCGAACTGCAAAATTATGAACAAATCAGCTGTGGTTTAATACTTGTACGTGTTATTTCAGGGTTACATAAGCCTTTTTTTTTTTTTTGGTTTTGGTTTTGGTTTTGGAAGTCGTGTTTGTGATTTTTTTGTCGTGTTTGTGAATTGAAACGTAAGAAGGTAAGAAGTTTATTTGGATGAATTTGAGAAAGAATTTTGACTGTTTTAGTCGTTGAATAAAGGAAGGTCGAGTGGCGCGCATTTTCTTTGAGCAGAAAAATAAGCTCTTGTCAGAATTTGTTTATCTGCTTATCCCACTGTCTGTCTGTCTGTCTATTTATATATCTATTTTTCTATTTATCTATTTGCCTGTCTGTTTACATATATATACCTAATCTATCTATCTATCCGTCTGTCTCTCTACCTACATACACAAACAAACACAACCATTACACAGAACATGGACCAAAAGCAATGCACCTCTCAATGAAACAAGAACAGCTGTCAAAGTGTACGCGACAGGCCTCGGTGCAGCTGTGATTTCCTCCCACATGCGGCTGGATAGTATAAAGGAACTAATGTGAACTAGCAGCACCATCTAGGGCTGAAGGTTGAATCTAAACAGACCCAACAGCAGCTTCGCGAACATAAGTGCAAGCGCCCCCTTCCATCCTTCTCTTTGGACGGACAAAGGATTCTGATATACATATACATATTATATATATAATATATATATATATATATATATATATATATATATATATATATTATATATATATATATATATATATATATATATATATATATATATATATGTGTGTGTGTGTGTGTGTGTGTGTGTGTGTGTGTATGCATACATGTATATATAGGTCTATATATATGTATATAATATAATACATATATATATATATATATATATATATATATATATATATATATATATATATATATATATATATATGTGTGTGTGTGTGTGTGTGTGTGTGTGTGTGTGTGTGTGTGTGTGTGTGCGTATATATATATATATATATATATATATATATATATATATATATATATATAATATATATTCATGATAATTAAATTATTTTCTTATTAACATACCAAGTCTTCCAAACTGGTGTCGAGTCTTCCCAGTCTTGTCATTTTTTCTGGAAAGAGAAAAAAAAAAACGTTAGATAAAATAAGGAGCGATGAGGCTTCGACAGTCCACATGATGCTAAAGCGGAGGAGCCCGAAATGCAAGAAAAGAAGGGAGGAGAGATTAAGACAAATGAAAATAAGGGTGTAAATAGCACTGAACTCGCCAAGAAAAATACGGTAGGGTTAGAAGAAGTTAAATCAGATATGAACAACAATATGATAAAATATACACATGATAAACTGAAGAGCCAAACAAAGATGCAAAGCAAGGAAGAGAGAGACAGACAGACAGACAGAGAGAAGAAGGAGAATATAACATAAAAAAACGAGTTTGTAAGAGAGGGACCTTGTTAGCCAGTCATCTCACGCCTCTACCCGCCCTGCCTGCTAGCTG